TATAAAACTGCAAAAAAAAATGAAGAAAGTATAGCATTAATTTTTTAATTACATTTTAACCCTGCGACTACCACACATTCACAACGGAGAAGGAAAATATGAAGGAGAGTAACTGTTCACTTCACATGAGACATGAACAGGACATGTCTGAGTCACAGCTACATCAGAGAAGGAGACACTGCAATGGAAGCAATTTCCTACCATCTGTGACCACACGCCTTGGAACACAGAACAAAACCTTCAGATACTGGGTAAAACGGAGGTTGTGTAGCAGCCAACAGGAATGATGTATAAAATAGTATATAATCTCGGTTAGTCGGCTAATTATTAATCAGGTAAAGCAACGAAGCAGTTTTTTGCGAGACAATTTTTCTACAGACCCTATAGGGTTGTGTGTGCATGTGCAAAACAACAAAAAAAGACCACAAAAATCAACTATAGCATAATTATTGCATATATGATGATGTAATTTCATCTTAATTGTGATTATTATTATATTTACATTAGATTTACATGACCATTTTTACCGGTAACTAAAATGACTATTTTCTTAATATTTAAATGTACCTAAAAAAGGGGGGCAGGTTTTTTGTTTGTTTTTAGAGAGGTAGACGGGAGAAAGACGAGATAAATCGTTTTCGAAAATGAAATTCTATAAAAACTAAAATATAATATAAAAAATAAATTGATAAAATGTTAGTCTTTCTGTGCGGCACGATACCAACTCATTTATAGCTCAGTGGCTATAGGAACAGTTGCTAACGGTGCTGCAGCTAACCAAAAACCAAAGTGCTAATATATATATTTGTATATATATATATATATATTATATTTCTAAACTATGGTTTTGTTTTGTTTTTACATCAACGCTGGCAAATAAATATTAAGAATAATCACCATTAGCTACTGCTCTCAAGCAACTACAACTTGGTTTGAGTTCGACCAGAATTTAAGTAAGAACTATGTCCAACAGTCGGCTACTGGAACTATGTTAACCTGACGTGTACAGTCAACGCCGGGTGTTGCTGTTTGCAGCTGTAACCGGTCCTAAACATTCTTAATACTGCACTCGTATTTTTTTCACACACCCTTGCCTGCTATCAGAACTGAAAACTCTCCAAATATCAGCGCTAATTCGTCACAGGACGTGACACACGTGAATTCCGTAACGTGCGCCGAGTTAATAAGAACCTGGTTCATTCACAACAAACAACCTTGGTGTTTTATTCACGTGTCTCCTCCCTCTCTTTCTCACCCACGAAGGTGAGGTTCGGTAAAGAGCACACAGTCTTTCCTTCTCCCTCACACACACACACACACACAAATGTCGGTGGTCCGAATTAAAACACTCCACATAAATACTGAACTGGACCGAGACCAGAAACGTGTCGCATTTCAATTGCCACACCGTTTGCTTTATCTAGTCTGTTTGAAACCCAAAATACATTAACTGACGTGTTCACTGTACACTGAAAAAAACAGAAGAAGAAAAAAAAAAACATGAATAGAAACAAAGACACAGTCTTTACCTTCTGTCACCGACGGAGCCGCATTCAAGTGGACCGGGCTGAGTTTAAACAGGTCCGGAAATGGTTGAGGCAAGGCAGGTTCGGAGATACGCCGGCTCTGCGTAGTTATGGCTCTTCTCATTAAACGACTCGGGTTGGGTTCTGCTGGAGCGGCTGGACTCAGCTGAAGGAAAATCCTGACATGAGATGGAGAGCCGCGGCTGAAGGAGAAACACGAGCAGCACAAGAAAGTGAGAGGAAAGGGTGGAGGAGGTATGACGGTGGTGAGAGGGACGGAAGCAGCCGCAACAGTGAGGACCGGAGCGGAGGAGGGATTCGGATGCGGACCAAAGCTCTGGTCCTGTCTGGACTGAGACGCTGTTTTCTTGGCAAATGCTCCGCTCATTCACATTTCCTGACTGATGTAAAGCGGCAAACATGTCAGCTGAAAGCATAGAGCTTCATTTTTTTCATCTGTAGATGTTGGACATTCTGGAGGAGAGGCAGAAAGTTCCGTTTCTCTGAGCTGAGAGGAGAAGAAACAGGAGTGGGATGTATACGACAGCACTGAACTGAGAGTGGATGACAGGAGGAGAGAGAGGGGGAGAGAGGGAGGGAGGGAGGGAGTAGGTAATAAATAACCTTTTCAGGTCATTTAAATAAAACAAAATGGTTGAAATTTCTGGAAAAGCCCCCGTGTGTGTTGTTTTCCGCATTTTACTTCTACCTAGTTGTCAACACAAATTAAAATGATGAAAACTTGAACTTACGTAATTCTTTAAAGCTGCCGTTATTGGTGTAAAAACAAAACCACATTAAGACTTCTTATATTTCTCAAACAGTTTGACTTTGCAGTTTTATTTTCAGAACTTAAATTAAAAGGCTGTCCTTTGAGAATGAGTTTAGCAAAGAAGTCATTATTTAATGAATGTTAAACCCCAAATGTCTGAAAGCTGAGAAAATGGGAATGTGAGGACGCAGTGAGCTGACGGTCATCAAGGTTTACACAAGGAAAGTGGTTCAAATTGGTACTTTTAAATTGAGTAAAAACAACATGAAACAATGAAACAATTCAACTGTACAAGGGCAGGGGCGAGGTCAAAGTGAAGGAAGACAACAAAAATGAGGATTTGATTTCCTTCGAAAAAAAGCATTGACATCTCAACACACGTACTGCCGAAACTTCTTGACCTGGTCCTGCTCCAACCTTCTGTGTTAAAAAAAAAAACAGAATCTATTTACACAACAACAAAAACACTAAAACTGAATTTTATTTTACAAGCCAGATTGGAAAGTAGTAAAATCCTGATGTCTCTCATGCGGTCACACCAGACATTGTCCTATGTACTATGATAGTGGAACGATGCGCTGAAGACCGTCGTAGCCTTGACTGTACAGGTACTGAAGATACCAGCTCCAGAACTGAAACGTCTGGAACACACACAGAGTGGCAAAGTGAGCATCTCTACACATCTCATCATTGAAATATAAAGTGTGAAAATGTTCCGATATTTAGTAGGGATGTCCGATAATATCAACCAATATCATTGACCGATATAACCCCAACACCAATGCCTGGGATGTGACCTACAAATAGTTTAGAAGTCAAAGTGAAAGATTGTCATTGTGACATAGCACACAACGAAATGTGTCCTCCGCCTTTAACCCAAACGGCTACAGATATCGGTATCGGAAATTAAATTTTTGGACAATATCGGCATATCGGTTATGGGGAAAAAATTTAAAATCAAACATCCCTATTGTTCATTCATGTTTTACAACAACAACAAAAAAGTTTCTTCAAACCTTGATACAGCCGAGGTCCAGCTCCTTCTCAGGCCAACACTGTTAAAGAAAAGTACATAAATATTTAGAATCATTAGGCAATCCTCTGAAAGAGGCAGAAATAAATACAAAAGAAACGAAGAACCTAAGTCTGTTTCCGCCACAGACACCAGATATTCATGGATGGAGCTAGCTACATCTACATGAAGCTACACGAAAGACACCGGGCTTTAACTGTTTGACATGATGAGAGGACTTCTCCCAAAGGACGTGTTTTGCAACGTCAAGACCTAGATTTCTTTAACCCACTCACACACACTTACTCTCTGGTGGAAATCCACGGCATAGCTGAGAAAAGCAGGGTGATGGACCAAGTCAAAACTCCGCCTGTAGTCTGGTATTTTGGTCTCGGCCAAAAGCTCCTCTCTCAGTTGTAAACCAGTTTTGGGATGAATTAGCTTGGAATTCCACAGGCAGTTGACCAAGACCTGCAGGTAGTGGTTGAACTCGTGGAACGTTTGCCGGCTGATGTGAAAAGCATTCTGGGAGATTATAGACAGGGGAGAAACAGAATGTTCACATCTTGACATTTCATTAAACTTATCAATATTTATTATAACGCTCCATGTATATCAAATATATACTGGGGTCCTTGACTTGCGTCGGAATTCCGTTCGTACAGCACGACGTAATTCGATTTCCTTCTTATATATATATATATATACATACATATATACACACACATATATATATACATACATACATATATATAAATATAAACATATAGATATGGGGTCATCAACTTACTTTGGAGTTCAAATTCCTAGCGCCGACGTAACTTCAATTTTGCCCGTAGGTCGGAAATTTGAAACAACTACATATTATATATCGCAAAATAAAAAATGGAACCCATTGGTCTGACAAGCAACGCAAAAATAGCACTGGTGAATGTAAACAGAACGAGAGAACAAGACTTTCCGACTCAAGCCGTGGGATGATAAAAGTATGAAACACGTCTTCCATCTGTTAGAAAAGTTACCTCTGGTGCTTTTTCTTGAGTCTTGGCCGCAGTCAAGTTCTCCTTATACCTAAACAGTTAAAAATAGATCGGATCAGTTGCTGCTTGTTCTGTGTTTTTTAAATCATGTTATGAATCCTATTATTATATTCATATCATAATGCTGGAGTAATATTCATCAGCTGAGATAAACGTTTATTTTTAAACAATCGAAGCAACACGGAGTTCTGACCTGAACATGATGAAGGCCAGATGATCCACGCTGACGGGGTCAATGGAAAACAGAGCTTGATAGAAAACACCAGGAGGCGGCATCACAATTAAAGGAAGTCCAAATTTGAGGTACGTGTCACACACCTGTTTGCAAATAAAGGAAAGATGGAAGTAACTGATCACAAACACATTTCAGGAGAAAGACGGGCGCGGGGGGAAAAAAAAAAAAACAAGTGTCAACGAGCTGATATACCGTCTCATAAAAGTCCAGGATGAACCTCAGGAGGAGGGTGCTGCTGCTTTCAAACTGAAGACCAACAGAGGAGATGTGGCCCACAAATTGAATCAGCTCCAACACTGAGTCCATGAACCCCGACAAGGACATGTTTCTGTAAGGGGAAAAGACAAAATACAGTAGACAGGAGGGTTAGAAGAAGTCAGACAGGAAGTGAGGGAGGAGAGTGGACTGGAGGTTAGACTCATTTAAAACACATTTAAGCTGTGGTCTAAGTAAATTTAGGACTCCGGCGTGTAAAAACTTACATGGTAGAGTGACTGCTGAGAGTAATGTCCAGCTCATCCTCCCGAACGTTCACCATGTGCCAAATCAGCCAACTGGACAGCATGCTGTTCAGACACTCAATAACCTCACACTGCGTACACAAACACAGACACGGCAGCAACAAATGAAACGCTAATGTAAAACAAATTCTAGAAATGGAAAGTGATTCGAAAAAAAAAAAAAAAAAGATCTTACTTTGAACACCACAGACGAGGTGAAGAAGAGCTGTGCGAGAGGCTGCAGCAGAATTTCTTTTATTTCTGCAATGAAGAAAAAAAATAATAAATGTTCAGTTTTTCATTTTTGCCAAACCAAAGCTGTTGACTGAGATTTTAATGATTTCAGAAAAACATTTTTGTTATTAGTGTTTTGTTTTGTTTTTTGGTTTGTTTTCTTATGATTTAACACTTTTGGTCAAAATGTAATGTTATCTTTAATGCCAACTTTAAACCTTTATTTTTAGTTTGCCATTTGAGTGAACTGTACCTATTGTATTAGGTACAGTACTATACAGTACTATATAGTACTATAGTATTTTTATTTCCTATTTTAGGGGGTTTTTCTTTGACTATTTTTAAGCTAACATAAGGTCAACTGCAGTTTACGTTTTGGAGCTTTTTTGCTTTATTTCTGTTTTTATTTTTGTTTGTTTTTTAAACTATATAGTTCATATTTGTTTGAAAAGATTTCCTATTATTTTTGAATTTTTTTTTTTAATTTTAAAATTTACAAAATTTGTCACTAATATGACTATAGTCAAAAACTAAAGGGTTTGAAAAGATTTCCTATTATTTTTGAAAAAAATTTTTAAAAAATTACAATATATGTCACTAATACGACTATAGTCAAAAACTAAAGGTTAATGTCATACAAGCATAGAAAATTAATTAATTTGGAAATATACTATGAATAATGTTTTTTGGACGTGTCGTTGTGTTCTTCTTGTAAGTACTCTGTACTTATTCATTATGATGGTCATTTGTTGTATTAATTGTGCGTGGTACGTTTCAGATTTATTCAATTGAAAATGTAAAATGAAAATGTGAAAATATGAATGTCCCCCCACGTACCACTAGAGAGCGCTCGTGTACCACAGTTTGAGAACCACTGATCTAGTTGATATAGGTCTAGTTGCAGGAACTAAAACCAATGTGAAGACTTACTGGAGCTGGGAATGACAGGAATCTGGCTGAGCAGACTGAAGATCTGCGGACGAAACAGCGAACCGTCCCAAACTGTCAGGAACTTGTAGAGGAAAACCTCTGTGCTGGCAAATGATTCCTGGTGAGGTGGGTGTTATTGGAAACAGAATGAGTGTGCTGCAGAAGATATGTTGAGTCAAGGTTCTCAAAAAAAAACAGACATGAAGCCCACCTGGAGAAAGTGCTGTGCGGACAGCAATTTGTCCAAAAACTCAACCGCTTCCTCTGACTCTTGAAAGCCTTTTCCGTCAGAACAGAAGAGAAAATCTGAGCAGAAAAAACAAACAAAAAAGACAAGAATTAATAGGAGCAGAAACATTTAGGTTCTCTGTTTCAAACACACACACACACACACACCTTCCTGGAGGGCAAAACCAAGCCAGAAGTTGAGACGTAGGAGAGCCGACTCGCTCTGAACACAGTATAGGTAGTGCAGGGCCACACCGGAGGTCAGGAGTGATCCCATCTGAGCTGGGAGCTGTGGCAGAAACAAAAGGCCAAGTTACATCAGACTGTGTCGGTCATTTTTTCCCAAGTTACATCAGACTGTGTCGGTCATGTTGGTTTTTGTGCCAGTGACATCATGTTGCTTTACTTAGTTAGATCGTTTTGTTTGTTTGTTTTTTTTTTTTTAAAAAAGCTATTTATATATGGATCAATAACATGAAAGAAACGCTGTCTTTAACAGTGGTTCAAAAGCAATGTCACAGCGCCCCGTAGCGGCCGTCAGCATGTCTTACACAATTCACGTGGATAATAGAAACAGAACCAAAGAGAGAAACAAAGTGAAGGACACTTTACCTCGATTCGGTGCAGATTCTTTAGAAGCTCAGAGAAGGAGTTGATCTGCTGCAGTGGAACAAGTTTGTTGTTGCAGGAGGCGTCTCTGTTCATAACAGAATTCACAGCAGGAAACTGCAGGTGGATGTGTTTCTGAAAAATACGTACATATCCCATAATTAGAGAAAAAAAATGTAGTTCTCTTTTAAATATTTTTAGGAATAGACAAATAGACATATAGAGAAGTGGTAGAAATCAGAGAGATTTGAGTGTCGTGGAATTTTTGCGAGTGACCAGGATGGACAGAATTAGGCATGAGCAGATCAGAGTGGAGCTGTTAAGGTGTAGCAGTTTGGAGATAAGGTTAGGGAGCTGAGGTAGAGATACTGGATATATTCAACAAAGGATGATGGATGATGGAGTTGCCAGGCAACAATAGTGAAAGAAAAGAAGTTTGGATGTTGTGATAAAGGACAAAAAGAGAAGTTAGTGCAGCAGTAGAGTCCTGTCTTGGTGCGAGATTCTGGGCAGTGTTGGAATACAGGTGCGGATGGGGATATCAAAAGCAGCCGAATGACGTTAAAAATTAGGGAAATCCGGGGTCTCAATCTTAAGATGTAAACAAAACAGATGATCTCACCCTTTTCCGTACGTTGCTCTTATTCGCAAGCGTAAACGGCAGGCTGCTGCAAGCCACCTGACTACCGTTCCTCTTCTGGACGGCCATCAGCGCTGACTTCCACGGAGAGTTATGGTTTTTAAATTCAATCTGTAGCGAAGAGAAAACATGCAATTTGACCAGCACGCCACCAGAGCGTATTATCCACAAAGCCGAAGAGAAAAAAAAAAAAAAAAACACCCTTCACCTTATCCTGAAAATGATTAAAA